CACGGGGGCCACTGGCCGTCTGTAACTCTTGGTTAGAATGACATGAACTGAAAGCACAGTGACAATATAAGAACAGAGGTACTTAAAAAAAAAAAAAGACCACATTTTGTGGCTTTTTTTGGGATGTAATCAATAAAGTAATTTTAAAACATTTAAAAGAGACAAATTCTTTACTGTCACAGACGTGTAAAAATATTTTCACAAGTGTATGATCATGGGAGAAAAAAGAAAAGTAAAGTTACTCACCCCTTGATGATAGGTGATGAGAGATTGGTTGATGACATCATAATTTTAGACATCAAACTAATTCCATTTTGAATTCCTTTCAACTGCTGGTAAGCCTCTGGAGCGGGGTTCACATAAGAAGAAATCCCAAAAAGCCAAAGAAAATGCATTGAAACAGAAGAACCAAAGTGCTTCTTCACCAAAGTCTTTTCACATAAAGACTAAAACTTTGAGCACATTCCATTTTGCTTTCTTAAATATGGTTTCTTAATTCTTGCTTTTGCCAGAGAGACTGTTGTGTGCTTTTGTACAGAGCAAAACGTTTCATTTTCTCTTCTATGGTTATCGTCACACTTTACTTCCTTGTCATCGATGGTACCCATCTATGGTGGCATCATCGCCCCCCCGTGCCCGCAAAACGCAATTGTTGAACTTTTGTGACCTTTGCTACATCTTGTGCAATTTCGGAGGTCTTTTCTTTTCATAAAACTGTGGGTGGCTTTCAAAATTGCAAGAATACAATATCGTCCAACAAATGAGCACTTTTAAGTGACTTTTTGGTGATGTCGCAATGACTCTTCATCACGATTTCGGGTTGCAGCCCTGCCCAAAAAAGTGCCGTCGTGTTTTTTTTTTTTTCTTCCATTCACTGTCATTATTCCGCCCGCATGTCGGCCTCCGTCTCCCACCCGCTCCCCCGTTGGACAGCAGATGGAGACTGTGGCCCAGTTCTGCCTTTTGTCTTGAGGTCCCCAGAGAGAGACCTGGATGGGACTTTCTTGGACAAGCACGCGGCATACTCCACTCCTTTGAGGGCCGCTTCTTTCTTTCTTTCTTTATTTCTTTCTTTCTTTCTTTCTTTCTTTCTTTCCTTTCTTTTTTCATTAAAAGGCGAGCGGTGGCATGCAGATTATGGTGAATCAAAGTATTGACATTAGCACATTGAACCGAAGCGTCACTGAACTTTGTGTAGCATTTCTGGAAGTGAACAATGAAAATCCACAATATTTCTTTGCATGTTTGTTTCGATATTTTAAAGCTACAGTCCGTTGAAACGTTGGATTTTGTCTTTTACAGCGGCACGTCTAAGGTTTCCAGCTTCGCGTGGCGGTTACTTTTCAGAACATGAATAATGCACGCATGTGTAACCTCCACCTGACCAGTGTTCCACCTGTTGTTCCCTCCCCCCTTTTCTTCATGAACTCTTCATTCACTCCTTTAATGTTGACCCTAATTTGGCTTTGAGAAACAAATTTAGCACAGTAGATGTTTATTCACTTGCAATTTAAGCGGAGGGAGTACGACAAAAACCTTCTTTTGACTACTCCACTGGGGTTGTAGGTTTGACAAGACAGTGAAGCACACAATTCAATCCTCCGTGGTAAAAGCAAAGTTTGAATTCGTGATGTGTCAGTGTCCCATGAAAAACACGAAACTATACTTTTTGTGACAACACACACACACACTTTACCAAACAAGCTAAACTATTTTCTCTTTCTTCAGGAGAAATACAGAATACTCACACAGAGTGAAATGTTCGTGCTTTTTATCATATCACCACTGTCCAATAACACATCTCCAGTTTGTGCGGTTTTCTCATATTCTCAACTCGAGAAATAACCAAAAATGTTGCTCGGCAGGGACGATACGTCATCACCTTTTACTGCATATTATTACTCGCCTGTAAAAAGCATGCACCTCGATATTGGGATTTTATTTACCAGATTTCCATCATCTTTTTAGCTGCAATATCATCTCCATACACAGTTACATCATTTCTATATTATGCAATGAACACATGCATTTTAAAATGTTTACATTTTTTTCCCATCCCTTAAAACTTTTTGTGAAGAAAAAAAAAGGCAGAAAGTCGAACCCTATGCATTTCATCAACAAAAAGCATGCATCACCAAATTTTATCCATCCATCCATCTTTTAACCCACTTATCCTCCCAAGGGTCGCAGGGCCAGCCAATCACAGGGTATACATAGACAAACAAAAATCCACACAGGCACGGGGAGAACACGCAAACGCCACACAGGAAGGCCGGAGCCAAAACCAAACACTGCACTTTTGCACTGTGAGGCGGACGTGCTAAACAGCCGACCACCCTACCGCCCTACCAAATTTTATTATTTTTTTAAAAAAATATATTGAATTGGAGATTCAATATATTCTCATCAAATGAAAAAAAACAAACAAAACAAAACAATATAAAATGTATACTCTTCATCATTATTACTGCAGTCCAATAAAGACCAATATATATTATCGGGAAAGCAACAAAATTATTCTATTTTACATGGAAAAAAAATGAGCATGTGGAGCTGCAGTACACGCGGAATGCGACAATTAGTCAAGCAACAATCAAAAATACAACCACGGGAACTGCACAGCTAATTAGTGGCGTCTTCAAAGAAAAAAAAAGGATATTGCAGGAACCAACTTCATGGCGCTGTCTTCCTAATATCTCTAATTACATTGAATAGAGTCGTCATTAAATTGTAAAATGAATGAGTATTGATAGTGACGCCTCTGTCCCGGGACTGACGGACATGGACTACATTTGCACACTTTTTTAAATTATATAGAAATACGATCCCTTCTAACAATGCAACATCCACGCCACTCCTCTCATCATCGAAGCGTTGCTTTGTGAAATGTGATAAGAGTCCGATGCAAGCAGCAGACGTGATCATCCTAATATACTCCCTGCATATCATCAGTTAATAATTGAACAAGAGGAGGCCATGACAGGGGCGCTGCTCCATGATTGGTGGCTGTTTCAAACTGCATGAATAATTTCTGACTTTTTTTTGGTTGTTTTGTGAGTATGCACGTGTGTGTGTTTGTGTGTGTGTGTGTGTGTGTGTGTGTGTGTGTGTGTGTGTGTGTGTGTGCGTGTGTGTGTCACTCCCTGTAGAAACTTTGTATGGAGCCGAAAAGATGGAGTGGAGGGACGGGTGGGGTGGTGGCTGTAGGAGGGAGGGGAGGTTGGAGGTGCGTGCGTCCACGTGTTTGTTTATGCTGAAAGAGCGAGACGACCGACGTGTGCGCGCGTGCGTGTGTCCTCCGGGACGCGAGCGCTCACCAGCTGACAGCGCGCAAGCTCTCACTCCCGGGGGGTGGGCGTGGGGTGGGGGGGGGGCATCCAACACTTCGGCGCATGCACGGACAAAAGCCGCCCGACGGGAATGCACTCACGCTCCTCGGCGAGACTCACTAAACACGCGGGGCGACCTGCGCTGCGACACTTCGGACTTGAAAGAAAACAAAAAGAAGCAAAACAAACTCAAGTTCAACACGACACTGCGTGGAAAAGCTTTTGCGTATTCCGACGCATTTGTTGCAACTACACGCGCGACATGATGAGCACACGCGCTCACGTACGCGGCATATGGCGAGCGAGCGCCTGCAACGTTTGTTTACTAGAAATGATCCGGTGAATAATGGAGATCGGATGTTGAATGTGCCGTTGAAATGAATGGGAAAAGAGTCTCGAGATGCCCTGTGGGCCCGATACAAGTCCTGGTCTTGAACAACTATTGACATCGCAGTGCACCTGATTGCGCATTGCCGGTGAATTCGATTGGTGTATGAAACAAAATACAGCCTTGTTAAAATGTGGTGCCTACAACATGTCAAACTTTTTGTTTTGAGTCTTTAAGTATTGTTACTAAAATACACATGACAGCACAGCGTGGACAAAAAAAAAAAAAAAAGAGTATAAGGCCGAGATCAACTTTTGTAACTTTTAACACACGCAACTAAAAGTGCAATGAAAGAATGTCTGAAATTCGGTTAGCTGTTAAGGTTAAGCCAAACCGGAAAGAAACATTGAAATAAATGTTGCAACTATAGGTTTAAAGCTTTAAAAAAACAGCAACAACAAGATATAACAACTAATAAATACATCTTTAGTTTGGGTTCTGAAGTTGGGCCGATAAGATCAGTGTAATTGGAATACATTTACACCCAAATTAGATTTGTAGGTCATTTATGTGTTCATAATAATCACACAGAAAGAACTGATCAAACAATACGGCAATGCTGTCAAACATTTTTCCATTTCCAATGAAAGACATGTTCCAACTCGGCCTCTAGATTTGGAGCAGTTGCATTTTACTTTTACAGTATTTCAACAAAGGCAACCCAGAACAAGAATTCTAAACTACTGATCCTACAGAAAATGTTTTTACTGCTGTTAAAGGGCATTTTGAGCAATGCCAGTAAAAAAATAAGACAAAATAATACTCACAAATTCCGATTTTATTGCCATTGGAAGTCACATTGCTACTACGTTTGGAGCTTTTTGGTCTTTTTTTTTTGTCTTAAAACAAAATACAACAAGGACTATCGATCCAGCATGTCAGAGAGAGCCAGTGCCCATAAAACCCAAAAGACACATTTACAACTACAAATTTGTAGCTATTCTGTTCCGTTTCCCATTTATTTATATTATTTGCATCTTGCAAAACGAAGACAAAATATAACAAAGCCTATCTAAGAATAACTTCAGTTTCAGGTTCTGAGTTTGGGGCCTCTCATTAGAGAAATGTCCTCAATGTTCATTGCGATTTTTGTAGAGACGCAGAAAAAAAGGAGCCCAGAAAATATATGCACAAGACATCAATAAAAAATGCATTTGTACTGAGTGCAAAAGTAAATCAATTCGGTTTGTAAATGAAGAAAAGAATCATTTTTTTTTTCATTTGCATTTTATTTCCAAAATCAAAGGAACAAACAATGGCAAAATGTTAACTTTTCCAGAAAAGTTACCTACATATTACAAAAAAACAAAACAACAAATGTACATGTCAATTAATCTCATCCAGTGAAAGCAAAAGACACACATACAAAAAAAGGAGCAAAATACAAAAAAAAAAAAAGAAGGCAGCGATGATGGCTACATTAAATAGGCTCTATTGGGTAGAATTGGCAGTACTATGCTACAAGCAGGCAAAAATATTGATTTTTTTTGTGGTGTAGAATAAAAAAATCATTTGTCAAGCCCCTGGCTCATACAGGCTACACATTATTACAATTTTAAAGTGCACATGGTGAACTTTTGAAGTTGCAAACAAAAATACATTAAACAAACATCATAACGATAAAAATACAATTTCGTGAAAGACCGGACTGCTTATTTTTGGTCGGAGTGAAGTGGGGATACAATGGCGATGAGACCTGGCAACCTCAAATTGGCATGAACCAAACTAATATGTCACAAAGAAATAATTATTTAAAAAAAAAAAACGTTTGGGAGCAATTTGGTTGACACTGGTGGGCTTGCGTGGTGTTCCAATATATTTGTGTGAGAACTTTTTAGAAAGAGACCGCGTGAAGCTCGTCCTCCTCCACCGCCAACTCATCCGAGTCACTGAAGTGGGAGCGCGGAGAAAATTCGCCGTCGCTGCGGGGCGAGTCAACGCGTCCACCCGGGCCGCCCGCGGCAGGGGAGCCCGCAACTTCCTCCAGCTGCAAAGAGGGGAACGAGACGTCGTCGAAGGCTGCGCGCAGCGACATGGCGTCGATGTGCGCGGCAAGCTGGCCCTCGGAGGAGTTGGCCGTCGGCTGTGAGGGCGACTTCGGAGCCCCGCCGTCGAAACCCGCGGACAGGTCGCTCTTTGGCGGATTGGAGGCGGACGAAGACGACGTCGGTTCTTGCAAGAGCTCCGCCAGGGCGTTGATGTAAATCTGCGCCATTTGAAGCGTCTCGTACTTGGACAATTTCTTGTCGTTGTCTAGCGCCGGGATGACGTTGCGGAGGGCATCGAAAGCGTGGTTGAGGCCGTGCATGCGCCGCCGCTCCCGGGCGTTGGCGGCGACTCGCCTCTGTCGCTGCACGCCGTTGGCGGGTTTGCTGGACGGGGCCCTCTGCCGGGCGGATGCGTCTTGCTCGGCGCCGGCTACCACCAGGCCCTTCAGGCGGCACAGGTCTCGGACTTTGAGCGAGCCCTGAGACGCTTTTCGATAGCTTGGAGGGCTGGGGGGACCCGCGGAGCCCGGTGAGCCACTCTCTGGAATAGCAAGAAGATATTTTTTCAGTTTGGCGGTGACGTCATACCAACGACCCAATGCGGTATTTATGGACCGCTGGGAAGTAAAGGAAATGTCAAAAACAAGTAAATATAATCATGTTTGACCTCACTAAGAATTAGCCTACTTTCTTTGTACATTTTTACAAGTAACTTGCAATTATTGAACTGCACCTTTATTCCAATTCCTCGTTTTCTGGAACATACAGTCGAAAAACGAACTTCATTTAACTATCGTAACGTAATTGAACTTGTACAAACTTTGTAATTATTATGTTTCTGGAAGCAGTGTACAAAAATCATTTTCCCTCATGACATCCTAATTTCCAAATGATTGGAAAGCAAAATTCCAACTTCATTTCACATGTTTTATAGTTTTAAAATTTCCCATTTTTATGGAATGTACCATAAAGACGTTTTAAACTTTTCCCTAACTTTCTAATTTGAATACTTTCTGGCACCCACCATAGAAACTCCATTCACCCTGCCCTTGTTACCTAATTTCACATTTTATTCAACGCACCATAGGAACTTAATTTACCTCGTGACTTCCTACTTTCAGGAACACGCCAAAAGAACATTTAACGCTGCATTTTAAAAAAATGTCTATAGGAGCACACAATATCAACAATCTCATTTTAACTTCTCCAAAAATTCCAATTTCCAAGGGTTTTCACCTCACGAATTTCCATTACCACAATTTTATGTTTGCTTCTCGCATAAGCCGACATGCGAAATAAACAATTTGAAATTGCACAATTGTACAAACGGTAGAATGTCTCACCGTGAAAAGAACCGGTGCTGGAGCAGGGCGAATGTCCCAGGTAGTCTGCCGAAGAGTCGCGTGTGTCGCAGGCGCCCGAAGTTTGCGCGGGAGCGAGCCAGTCGCGTGGATCACTTTCATAGCTCGCCTCCTCGGCGTCCTGGCACCAGTCTGCCACGCTTAGGACGTCCATGTTTCCCCCCCCCACCCACGCTGGGCAAATAACTCCTACAAGTGGTGGTAGTCTAAACACGATACCGGGGACTGTTTTGACTTCCGCGCTGCGTGAGGAGGAGCGCGCGTCGCGTGTCTTGGGTGTCTGGAGACGCGACGTGCGTTTAAAAGGCGGCACGCGTCTCGCGGCCCCCCTCCTCGCGCAGGTCGCGTGTAGTCGACCAATGAGAAGACGAATAGAAAAAAAAAGCCTCAAAGGAGACGTTCAATGCGCCCCCTCTCCAAGTCAGACTGTTTATATAATACTACAAAAGTGGCTCTTTTGCGGAAAATAGGGGTCTGAACCTCCCACTGAGTACACAAGTGCACGGTTTTAGGTGCACTTTGTGTGTCACGTGCCTGGACAGGGGACTGTCGGTGAACTACAAAAGGCACGCTCAGTTGCCACCGTACGTAACCCAGTTTGTATTTGTTTCATATTCAGGACCTAAAGTTTTTAATTGAGTATGGCGTTACTACTGCGATAGCCTAGTTAGAAACAGTATTTTAATTTTTGCATGAGGTGGCTCCAAACTTTTTTTTTCCAGTTTTCTACAGATTAATGGACTGTGCAAAAGGCACCAATAGAATAGCTCTTTTTAACAGTGCACTGATGACTCCTCTTTTCAGAATAACAAAAATAACCTCCAGGGGGAAGGTGTCAATGCCTTCAACATCACCCAAAAAAAACCCCTCAAACAAACAACCCCCACCCCAAAAAAAATCCTTAAACTGGTATGTATCAAGACTTGAAGCGCGTAAATCCTGTGAGACTTTAGCTCACAGCGCTTTTTAAAGACTTTAAATGTTTTTTCTTTACACGGAGCCGCACATCTGAAGGAAGGGGCCAAAGAGGAAACGTGTGATGATAACCAGAGAAGCAGGGATTAAATGTATTTACACTCTCATCTTTGTCCTCGCATTGCAGTATTTGACTAAAATCAACATAAGCCACAAGACTGCTTTATGGCTCAAAATGAAAGGGTGAGTAATTGTTCATTTTAGCTTTTATACATAAATATGAATGAATATTAAAAGACTTCCCTGTACAGGCAATAAAGTGGGATGAGATGGGATCGGGGGCATACAAAGGGTTCCTGGGGTTGTCTCTCTCCCTTCTCTATCCCTTCCTTTGCTCTCTCGATCCCTCCCTATCTCTCTCACTTTCCTTCCTTCTATCATTTCTAGTTCCACTCGGCTTTTGTTGCACTCCGCGACTCTTTTGATCCACGCCTCGGAACGCCCTGACGGGTGTACGAGTCTTCACGGGAAGCTTCAGAAACATGAGCTGGGTTCCATAGTGACACACGTGAGCGTGAGTGTGTGTATAAACTTGCGATAATGCGAATCAATGTGATCATACCACTGAAGAAGGAAACAGTGTAAAAGAACAATCAAAGCTACAAAGGCGCAGGGTGGCCAATGATGCAGTGCGCTAATAGCGGGCTATTAAGTCTAATTACACTACGCTCAATTAAGGACGTTGAATACAGTAGCTCACTGATCCCCAACCTCTGTACCTCGACAGAGCGTGCTGTGAGAGATTATTAGTTATTTACTAAAAACAATGTATCTATCTACTACATCAACACATAGTGACAGGCAGAACAATTAAATGCTCTTCCACGTGATGGAAGAAGTTGCAATTAATCTGTGTATCCACCTGTTGCCATTCATACAACAGAATAATAGCTTTGTGTTCAACTGAGCCATACATTTACAATAAAGTTTTACTGTGAAAAAGCTCAAGTAATGACGGCCCATCTCTGCTGGCCTCCATATCTTTTTTATACAATAAATATGGCACAAAGTATGATCCTAAAACACTGTCATTTCATACTCATGAATGGCAAAGATCCATCCACAAACAACCCATGCTAAACTTAGTTCCTACATAAAATACAAATATTTGTGTCTTTGGTGAGCTGTATTCCTTCACAATCCTTCTTTGACTACAGTGAGGATATACCAGACAGGGCTTTGGTGCCGTTTTGTGGCATCTTGTGTTACACAAATTGCACAGAATGGATGAGGTTTTCCAAGAGCAAAAGACAATCGGTGAATTTATTAAATAAAGTGGGATTCTTCTGTGTTTCACTATGTAGAGGAATCTTCTTTTTGATGTGCATGGATGAATGAAACTTGGAGAGCATCTTTATTTCAAAAAGGCTAAAGCGTTTCTCAGCAATTTACCAGTGAACGTATCACGTTGTTTCTTCCAAATAAAGTATGCTTTCACTTATTCCTAAATTGTACTGTATTGATATTTAACTAAAGACCGAAACATAACTTCATTTTGGGGCCAGAACAGATTAACTCTGTTTCCATTCGTTTTAATTGGAAACATTGCTTTGATTTGAGAACATTTGGATTCGAGCACACTGTCTCCAAACAAATGAAGTTTGTGAACCGAGATAATCATTTTGGGGCAATTTTCTTTTTTTTTTTGTTTTTGTTGGATAAAATATGTTTATGTTCAATAAAGGTAATTGGAAAACACTGCCGTTGCTGATGAATGCGGCTCAGTTGAACTACAAGGAAGGGGGTGCACTGCAGATACCTTTTGCCAAAAAAAGGGAATATCCTGCAAGTAGGCTTCCATCCATATATTTTTTTATTCATGCATCCATCACAAGGGACGTTGGTCTGGCGCCGAGCGTTCGCCCCTCTCACCACCAACAAGCCCCTACCCGCCTCTATCCAACGGGGGCTCCTGAGGCTACCGACAGGTTGGATATTGTAGCCGGCCATTATTAAAGTGTCGCGGCCACAATGGAGACTCTATGTTCCATTGGCCATGCCTGCGGGGGGGCACCTCCTCTATAGGATGGGATGAGAGAAGGGACTAAAGGGAGGGGGGGCTTCCATCATTCCAGTACCGGGGAGAGGAGTCTGCGTGCTGCCGCTCCTCATGCTCATCTCCCGGGAGACCGCAACGCGACGGGCACGCGGCTGAAGTGAGGGGGGCCACGAGAGGGACCGCAAGCCCGGACTGTGGTTCACTGTGGCCTGGCCTACAAGGCACTGCCCATGAATGTGACTCAAGTAAAACAGGAGAAATGTTGCCCTCCTTTAACTGCATCCATACAAACAATAGAATCATCACCAAGTAATTAACACCTTAACATTTGTAAATATTATACAAGTGTACAAAGCAGTGGCCACTGTATAATCAAACACCATGGAACTCTAATACCATCAAAAACTCACAATTTGAAGGGTTGAAATACTCTAATACAGCATCGATCATGAAAAGTATGAGCACATTTTAGCATTGAAAAACAATCTCAAAACCCCATCATAAAATCATTCTTCAATGAATATTTAACATTTTTTTCTGTCACACAAATGTGTAAAGATGACCATAGCATGATCAAACAAATCAAAGTAAAACTACTCATTATTTCAAGGATTGAAATCTCTTTGCCATAGGTCATGAAAAGTATGTTTACATGTCCATTAAGATATGGTGACTACCGTACGATCAAAGAACAAGTAAAACTACTCACCATTTGAAGTATCGATGAACATACCTTATTACATTTACTCGGATGCAATTCTCCCAAATGTAACGTTAGGGGACATTATCAATTCCAAGCACAAATCGTCACCACCATAAAACGTTTCACTGTACAAGCATATGAATCACCACACAATCAAACAAAATGAATAATAAATGAAATAAAGTGAAACTACTCAACATAGGAAGCGTTAAAATACCAACGATACAATATGACAGATGAAGCTAAGTGGCGGCAGATAATCGTATGCAATTTCCCCATCGGATATGTCATGTAAAAAGACTTTATCCAGTCACTTCAGGTTCAAACTATCAACCTCAATCAAGTCAACTCAATCAAGCAGAATAAAATTAAAAATAAAGTAAAACTACTCACCATTTGAAGACTTGAAATGAAGAGACGAGAGTCCCCAGGTTTGTGGACAAGCTTTTTTATCTCTGTCAGTTGTTCGCTATCGTGCTGTGTTCCAAAACATATTTACCGTATTCTCTGCACCGTAAGGTACTTCGGAGTATAAGGCGCAACTTCAATGAATGGCCTATTTCAAAACCGTTTTCATATATAGGACGCACCGCATTATAAGGCACATAGAAGAGACGCTACAATCATGGCTGCAGTTACGTTATGCATCCACTAGATAGAGCTACGCTAAAGGGAATACATACGATACAGCTTTATTTATATGGACAGTTCACTACCGCTGCAGCTGTAACAGTGCCTTTACCGAACATTTAAAACACTACCTCGAAGAATTCAAACTATTGATCCATATGTGAATTTATTTGGGGTAACAAAGTGGTACTTTAAACGGCGGTAGGTGTGTGATAACTGCCGACACCCATTTAGCACGAGTTTGAATGTGATCGGTCAATTCTAAACCCATCCACTAAACACCCCCACTTGTGTTGGTCTGATTAATAGTGGAAAACGTTTGTAATGTACTTATCTTTGTGATTAAAAAGCCTGACCTTTCCCCTGTTCAAAAAAGCAAAACAAAAGGAAAAACTACTCACCCTTTGAAGACAACTGAAAGGCCCAATGCAGAGGGAACGAACGGCGGGCATCCCTGGTTATTGCCATGGTGCTGTGTTTTTGGCGACGGTACATGCCTTTCAAACAATTGTCGTTTTTTAAATAATGAATTGTGTTGGTCACAATTGTTCTGAGCAGCCAGACGCTTTCCTTCATGAGAAAGAGAAAGCAAAATTCTGGTACTATGGTTGTCATAAAAATTTCCCCTTTTTGGTCTCAATGGCAACCAGTTATGGTGGCATGAAAAAAGAAAGGCAAAGTAGCAAGAATATACTTGATGAGTTAATCTTTTAGCTCATGGGCCACCAATTTGGCATCAATAGGGACCAGGTAGTCCTTGAGGACCACGAGTATCCATCGGGCCTCTCCTAAAAAATAAAATAAATAAATAAATAGCTCTTCAGTGACGGGACATTGTGATGCCCAAGGAATTCTTGTAGAAGTGGTTCTTTGAAAATGAAAAAAAAAAAAAAAAAAACACAGAGATAGAAACACATGCCTGTTTGTCTCGAATCTTTGAGAAATCATTTTTGTG